TGTATACATATACACATATATATACACAACAGATATATATATATATATGTATGCTTGTGTATGTTTGTGCAGGTATGGAAGATTAGGGGTCTCTCGGAAAAGAAAAGTTTACAAGGGTCTCTTTCCATAAAAAGAAAAGTTTCAGGGGTCTCTCTGAAAATGAAGAGACAAAACGGTGCGTTTAGCCAATTTCCGGTTCATATCATCTTCTTATTTCCCCGCTTCATTTCAGAGTAACGGTTCTCTCTCATCTGTATAATGGAAAAGCATTCTACATTTGGCTGGACGGAATTCTTTCTTTCTTGTTGAAAATTACATCTGCATCATGGCCAGAATGGATAGCTATTACGAGGTACGCTGCGATCCTCGCGAAACTCTGTTGCTTATTATTGTGAGTTCATCAATGTCTGGTTGTTTTCACTTAGATCTAAATGGTAAATGCAATGTCCGGCATGTTGTATGTCAGGTTTCGTTTCTTCCTCCCTATATGAAATGGCGTTCCATACATTGTTCTTTTTTTCGATATACTTTCTTTTACTACAGAGATTTTGATAATTTCTTGGCTTATCTCCACCATGAAGTACTGTCTCTCTGTTGGACGCATATGCATTTTGTTTGCGAACTTGATGCTGAATATCAAATAAGCTTGTGATTGGCCTCAATTTTTGAAAGCTCTCTTTACGGCTTATGTCCGTTAAGAAGCTATTTTCTTGGTGCGGAGACAGAACAGAAATTCGTGGTGAATGTGCCAGAATATGATTTTCCTTCTACCTCTGTGATGATCATAAATTAGAGCAACAATAAATCCAAAATGATACTATAGGAAGGAAGTAGAAGGAATCAACGAATTGATAATTATATAAATCCCACTAATTCATACTGTAGTGAGTATACAGTCATGTTTATTTGATTTATTGCATACAAATATCATGCAGCTTAGAAATTAGGAACTACGTACATGTAATATATAATGTTACACTTAAATCCAATACATACGAAACTCACTCAAGCGTGTTTCTGTTACAATCCCCACAGTAAAAATTAAGGGAGAGATAGCTGGACAAGTAGAGGAAAGTTAAGGGGAGAGAGCTGGACAATTAGAGGAAAATTAAGAAGGAGATAGCTGGACAATTCTCAGCTTACTTTGCTGAGATGAAAGGTTTCTAATTATAAAACTTTGCAACCAATAAAGACTTTACAGGTGTTCCAATAAAGGAACTACAGCTGTTAACAAAAAGAAAATTCGTTAAAATAAATTTTTATTTGCTACAAGGCTGTGCAGATTGCAGATTTTTGTCCTATGCAGGTTGCAGGTGCAGGTTGAGGATTTTGTGCTGTTCCTTTGGCTGTTTCTTGTCCTATGCAGGTTGCAGGTTGCAGGTTGCAGGTTGCAGGTTTTTGTCCTATTCAGGTTGCAGTTGCAGGTTGAAGATTTTGTGCTGCTGGTGTTTTGTTCTGCAGAATTACATGATGTGGTGTTCTCTTGGTTGTTTCTTGACAGCTGGTCACAACATTATTCTTGACATCCCCCTTCAAGCTTGGCAGTGGGAGAGGTCTTTCTTCCACTCCAAGTTTGCTTCTTGAATGACAAAATTGGGCACCAACTTGAGCTTTTGTTAAACAATCCGCAATTTGATCTTGAGAAGGGACATACCTCACTTCAAGTTTTCTGTCAGGAACTTTATCCCGTATAAAATGAATGTCAACTTCTATGTGCTTGGTTCTTGCATGAAAAACTGGATTACTTGCTAGTTGACTTGCACTCATGTTATCACACCCAGTAATAGGAGTTGCTGAAAGAGAAATAGATAACTCTGCAAGTAGTGATTCTAACCATGAAATTTCGCAGGAGACATGAGCTAAGGACCGGTATTCTGATTCAGCACTGGATCTTGCCACCACATGTTGCTTTTTAGAGCTCCAGGAAATTAAACTTGAGCCAAAATACACACAATAACCAGCTGTCGATCTCCTGTCATCCCTGTTACATGCCCAGTCTGCATCTGAGAACCCTGTAAGAGTGTAGCTGTTACATGGCTGTACAGGAGACATGAGCTAAGGACCGGTATTCTGATTCAGCACTGGATCTTGCCACCACATGTTGGTTTTTAGAGCTCCAGGAAATTAAACTTGAGCCAAAATACACACAATAATCAGCTGTCGATCTCCTGTCATCCCTGTTACATGCCCAGTCTGCATCTGAGAACCCTGTAAGAGTGTAGCTGTTACATGGCTGTATATGAAGACCAAATTCTTTGGTTCCCTTCAGATATCTTAAAACTCTCTTGACTGCATTCATGTGCTTAGTTGTAGGCTGTTGCAAAATTTAACTTGGTTTATTGATGATAAAGGCAATATCTGGCCTGGTGTGAGTTAAATATTGCAAGGAACCAATGATTTTTCTGTATGATGTTGGATTTTTGAGTGGTTCTTCTTCCTGAGCAGTTTGTGCGGCATTAAGAATGGCAGGTGTAGAGCATGGTTTAGAGTTTTCCATATCTGCTCTCTTAAGCAGTTCTTCAATATACTTTGTTTGAGTTAGATAAAATCCTGTATCATCCCTTGTTACCTCAATTCCGAGAAAAAGATGCAGTGAGGCTAAGTCTTTCAAGGCAAATAATTTGTCTAGTTCTTGCACAAACCGTTTAAGTGAGGTAGGATTGTTACCTGTTAGGATCAAATTATCAACATATATAAGCACAAATCACTTACCATTTTTTGGATTGTGGAAGAAAAGAAATGTGAGGGCTTTTGAGGGCATTGAAACTAATATTGTAAATATTAAAAATATGTGATTTCATACTTTTGGGTCTATCTTGTTAAGTCATTATGTGAAAGAGTGGGAAGACATAGGTTTAGTTCTGGACTACTCGATAGATTTGTAACTATTTTGTATTCGAGTGGTACTCATTTGGTACCTTTATGAATAATATTACTCTCTTTTATTTCAAAAAAAAAAAAAGCACAAACATAATTTCACCTTTGTTTTTCAAAATGAAGAGTGAGGAGTCACATTTTGAGTTCCTGAAGTCCTCCCAATTTAGCAAGGTTTTCCTGAACTTCTCAAACCAGGCCCGAAGTGCCTGTTTTAAGCCATATAAGGCTTTATTAAGCTTGCAAACATAGTTGATAGTTTATTTTTCTTCAAGCCCTTCAGGTTGCTGCATATACACTACCTCTTGTAGATCACCACTGAGAAAAACATTATTTATATCAAGTTGTCTGACCACCCAATTTTCTGTTACAACAATAATAAGGATAACTCTAATGGTCGAGGCTTTAACTACAGGACTGAAGGTCTTGCCATAATCAATTCCTGCATTCTGATGGAACTCCTTTGCTACTAACCTTGCTTCGCATCTGTGGAAACTGCCATCTATAATTTTTCTTAACTCTGAATACCCATTTGCTGCCAACAATATTCATTGAAGGTGTGCGTAGAACTAGAGACCAGGTGTTGTTTAGCTTTAATGCTTTCAATTCTTCTTCCATAGCTGATTTCCAGTGTTTAGAATTCAATGCCTCATTAATTGAGATAGGTTCAGTTGGCATTGGTTCTGAACACTTTGCAAGATATAGTTGAAAGTCTGAAGAAAACTGCTTAGGCTTGTGAATTCCAGCCTTAGCCCTTGTTGTCATTCTATGAGCATAACCTTCTTCCTGTTGTGATTCTTGTTGTTGGATTTCAATAGGTCGTTGATGCATTTTAGACTCATTTGTTTCAGCTTCTTTTGCTTGATCATCTACATAGCCTGGTACTTCACCAAAGTCAGATTGTTGGGGATCAAATCCTCCTTCAGCTGATAACCTCATATCATAATTCTCAGGTTGTAATGTTCTGGACTTAGCTTCCTGAACTTGCTTTACTGCAATAGAAACATCTTGAGAGTTTGTATCAAATAAATAAGTGTTAGGTGCTAGATTTATGTCAGATATCTCAGTGGTAGAGGTGAGCCAATAGGGTGTTGTAACTAAGGTTTGAATTTCTGGTGTTTTTGTGTTTAGAAAGTTGGTATGAAATGGGAAGTGTTTTTCATTGAAGACAACATGCCTTGAAATGTAAAATTTTCCAGTGGAACTGAGGCACTTATATCCTTTGTGAGAGCTACTGTAGCCAAGAAAAACCCACTTTGTGGAGTGGTATTGAAACTTTTGTGTCTGATAGGGTCTTAAGTAGGGAAAACAAGCACAACCAAAGATTTTCAGGGACTTATAGTTTGGTTTCTTATTCTGAAGTTTTTCCAGAGGACACATGTTATCTAACACAGGTGTGAGAAGTCTATTAATTAAGAATATTGCTGTAAGGAAAGCCTTAGGTCAATATTTTAGAGGAACCTTAGATTGTGCTAATAAAGTGAGACATGTTTCAACTATATGTCTATGCTTTCTTTCGGCTCTTCCATTTTGAGCAGATGTGCGAGGACAAGAATATTGAGTTTTGATTCTATGCATTTGTTGGAAACTAGCAAGTCCTAAATACTCTCCTCCCATATCTGATTTTCTTATCAAACTGGTTCTCAACTAGTGTTTTGAAATTTTGGAAAACTCATGCTATATCTGATTTCTGTTTTAAGGGAAATAACCAGGTAAACCTACTGTAATCATCTAGAAATAGCACATAATATTTGAATCCACATGCTGAGACAACAGGAAAAGGCCCCCTTATATCTGTGTGAATTAGTTCAAGGGGTTGAGTAGAGTGAGATGATGATAGAGTAAAAGGAAGTAAATGAGACTTGCCAAGTTGACAGTCATCACAGAAAAACTCACTTTCATTGATAGAAGGTTTTTGATTACAGGTTTCAAGAACCTTAACTAGAGTTCTAAAGGAGGGGTGTCCTAATCTCTTGTGCCACATTTCCATCTGCTTTACATTTTCAGGCTTGTTTGATAGGTTAAAAACAAAGGCTTGGTGAGAGTGTTGTTTGAGTTTTACTTTTGATTGCTGGACTGGTTCAATCTGATACAATCCTTCCTTATGTTTCCCTTGTAGCAGAGTTTTATCTGTTGCCTTGTCCTTCACAAAAGAACCAAAAGAGTTAAATTTAACATCAACATCATTTGAAGTGGTGAGTTTTGACACACTAGTCAAATTTTTCTCAATGTCAGGAACATGTAAGTTTCTTTGAGTATCAAGCATTTTCTTTTTTCTACGGACAATTTAACTAATCCAATATGATAAATGTTAAGTTTCTCACTGTTCCCCACAGTTAGAGTTTCTTTACCGTGGTATTCTTGTTTATTTTGCATATTGTTAGCATCATTTGTAACATGGCTACTTGCACCACTGTCCATGTACCAAGCCGGATATTGGACTCTAAGAACACAGAGTGTTGGTGTTGATTCTTGTTGTGTGAATCTGGTAATGCTCCCATATAATTCTTGTCAAACGTGTAAAAACAAACTGCTGCAGTATGTCCAATTTTGCCACATACTTGAACAAAGGTCTATTATTTCCACCATGTTTATTGCCCCTTCCTCTAAAAGTTCTTCCTCCTCTGTAGTTGTTTCCAAATCTACCTCCAGAGTGGTATTGATTCTGGTTCTTGTTGCTGGGATTGTTACTCTTCACATAATGAGCTGCTGGGTTGCCAAGATTGATTGTAGTTATGCCTGCATTCAGTTGCTGAAGTCTCCTTTCGTAACTCAGAAGTTTTGATTGTAGTTCGACTCAGCTAATATCATCTTTTTCTGTAATCTGGCATACCAGGGGGTTATACTCTTGTGAATCCAAACCAGCGGGAATTTGAGTGACTAAATCATCAAGAGAGACAGGATGACCAGCTAGTGCCAAGTTATCAGCATGACCTTTCATAGCTTTCAAATATTCTTCCATTTTCAAATTTCCTTTCTGCATTTTGGCAAACTCTCGTTTGTAGAACACCGCATTGGATCTTGTTTTTACACCAAACAGCTCATTCGTTGCATTCCATAGCTTTCTTGAAGTGTCATACCCCATTAGCTCAGAGGCTACAGTGGGTTCGATGGTGTTATATAACCAGCCTAAAAGCATTTGATCTTGAGCATACCAATCTTCATATTCTGGATTTGAGGTTACTTGCAAGGTTTCTGAGTCTTGTACTGTCTTTTCATTAAATTCTGGTGGGCAGATCTTTACTCCAGTGAAGTAGCCTTCTAGCTTGTTTCCTCTTATCATAGACAGCACGATATTCTTCCATAAGAGAAAGTTATCATGGTTCAACTTAACCATGGAATAAGAGCCAGTTGGGTTTGCTGATATATTTAAGGTCTTGACTGCTGCTACTCCTCCAGTAGTATTGTCCGCATAGGTTTTGTCTCCATCAATGGCAGAGCTTACACTATTGCTGCTGGACATGACTAACTCTGATACCAAGTAAAAAATAAGGGAGAGATAGCTGGACAATTCTCAGCTTGCTTTCCTGAGATGAAAAGTTTTTAATTTATAAAAATTTGCAACCAATCAAGACTTTTTACAGATGTTCCAATAAAGGAACTACAGCTGTTAACAAAAAGAAAATTCGTTACAATAAATTTTTATCTGCTACAAGGCTGTGCAGATTGCAGGTTTTTGTCCTATGCAGGTTGCAGGTGCAGGTTGAGGATTTTGTGCTGTTCCCTTGGCTGTTTCTTGTCCTATTCAGGTTGCAGATTTTTGTCCTATGCAGGTTGCCGTTGCAGGTTGAGGATTTTGTGCTTGCTGGTGTTCTGTTCTGCAGGATTATGTGATGTGGTGTTCTCTTGGTTGTTTCTTGACAGCTGATCACAGCATTATTCTTGACACCCACCATCTGAGGTTGTTGCATTTTCCCCTTCAAGTATCCTCTGAAAATTTGTTGGATAAGATCCTAGTATACATTCAGATGATATAAGTCAAAAGGACATGTAACCAGCCATGAAAACAAATCTAAATAATTATTATGAAATTTCTCTCTTTTCTCTGTTGCTGCAACTGTCATTCCTTGACAGGAAGGTTGAAGAGTTTTAGGGAAGCCTCAAGACATGTCTAGAATGCCAAAAGCACTGGGCTTCCTGAAAGCATTGGGATTCAACTGACCAAAGCCTTATCTCATTTCACATATTCATTTGTGCCAGATTCATGTCCATAAAGATTTCAGTGATCAACAATCTTTGCTTTTAGTACTGAGTGTTGTTCTTTGTCGTGAGCTCCACAAAGATATGACTCTCTATGTGCATAGTGTTGAGAGAGGCTCGGAACAAGACTGTTCTGTCTAGTTTTAGCTGATTAACCTGGTTGTAGAATCTTAGCTCCTTGAGGTATCTGAGAGATGGTTGTGATTAAAGCTTTCTCATGGATGGCCAATTGGTTTTGTTTGCGTAGTTACATATCAAGGTTGTTCATGGCTCGGCTGCACTACAACTCCGTTGTCATTTTAAAGCCATATCTTCATCGATGTCCGATTCCACTTTCTAAAGAAGAGGGCTGTTTGCGGCACAGGGCCCGCTTGAACCATACGGTTATGAATCTTATTCTCTTCAGGTAACTGAAGAATGGTTTTTCTGGAACTGGTATGAACTTCACAAACCAACCAATTGGCCACGATATAGCTGCAAGTACAATACAAGCTGCCCATTGCCATCCATTTAGCCTCTCTGTATCAGCAAATTTTTTCAGGAACTCTACCATCACAACCTGAAGAAGTATTGTTACGCCCACTATTCCAAGAAATAATCGATTCTTGTGAACATCTCTGAATACATTTTTCTTCTCCAATTTCCTCGCATTGAACTCATTGAAAACTTGACATAGAACGAAAGTATTGAAAATCAGGGTATCATTTACCTTCTCACCCACATTGAAGATAGACTCACCCTTAAACTGCAAGACCAAGAGGATGATTATCTGATATAGGGCTTGAGCTAGGAGATTCCTCCACATGATGTTTGTTATTAGGGGCTCTGTCCGACCTACAGGTGGCTTTTTCATCAGTTCATCAGTAGGTCGATCTGTAGCCAGAGCCAGAGCACCCAGTGTGTCCATTATGAGATTTACCCACAACAATTGAACTGCGGTTAGAGGAACTTCACCAGCAGATACTGCTGCTATGAAATTGATCACAAGGGCGGCAACATTCACAGTCAATTGAAATTGAATGAATTTTTGTATATTGTTATAAACACACCTTCCCCACCGCAAGATAGTAGCAACTGAAGTGAAGTTATCATCCAAAATGACAATGTCTGAGCTTTCCTTAGCTACCTCTGTGCCTTGAATGCCCATGGATAGTCCTATGTCAGCTTCTTTTAATGCAGGAGCATCATTTGTGCCATCTCCAGTTACTGCAACCACATGACCTCTCTGTTTCAAACATTGTACCATTAAAAGCTTGTCAAATGGAGAGGACCTTGCCATCACCCGTATCTTTTCAACTTTCTGCATCCTCTCTTCATCTGTGTAATTTCTGAATTCGATGCCTTCGACCACCTCCCCTTTTTCTTCTTGGCCATCAGGCCCCAGGATTCCACATTCCGCGGCTATAGCTTTGGCTGTGAAAACATTGTCTCCGGTTATCATTTTGACACTTACTCCAGCATATTTGCAAGCCTCCACGGCTTTCCTGGCCCCTGGTCGGGATGGATCTTTTAGACCAACTATCCCCATCAAAGTCAAGCCTTCTTCTCTCAGCCTTGGCTGGGTCTCGTTGTTTCTGCATTCTGGTTCATCTGAAATTTGCTTATAGGCAAAGGCAATGCACCGAAGACTACTAGCTGCCATACCTTGGATTATTTGTTCAAATTTTCTCCTTCCAGTTTCCTCCATGGACTTTATGAGCCCATCACTATCATAATACTGCGAGCACATTGCTAGAATCATCTCAGCTGCTCCTTTCCAGTGTACATGAACAGTATCATCACCCTTTCTCTTTATTGAAACCCCACTCCGTTTCTTCTCTGAGTTGAAGGTTTCTACATGGAGAATAGTGTAGCCTTGCTTCATTTTTTCCATAACCATACCCAACTCCAAAACAGCCCAAGAAAGAATAGCCTTTTCAGTTGGACTGCCAGAAAACTCAGGTATAGACCCTGAGGCAGATCTGCAAACAGTACCGGTTGTGTTTAGACCAACACCTTGGTAAAATAGCTCAAGAATACTTGGGGAAATCATGTTGTAGGAATCTTCATTTATTGAATCCTGGCCGAGCCAAAATTTGGTCACTTTCATCTGATTTAGTGTCAAGGTTCCTGTTTTGTCAGTACAGATAACGGTGGCTGAGCCCATTGTCTCACAAGCTGAAAGTTTTCTGACCATTGCCTGATCTGCCATCATTCTCTTCATGGAGTAAGCAAGCGTGAGAGTGACAGCCAGTGGCAGACCCTCTGGGATTGCTACCACCACAATAGTGACTGCAGCAGCAACAATGCGTACAACGGCATTGAACACATCATCTACACTTGTTTTGCTGCCATTGAACTCCTTATTGCCGTTGTCATCTGTTGTATTTCCACTGAAATAACGGACCAACATGACAACAAGAACAAAGGGAAGCAACTGATAGGCCCACTTTTCCAATAGAAGATGTTAGCTTATCAAGCCGAGCTTGTAATGGTGTCCGTTCATTGGAATCACTAGTTATTGAGCTCATCATTTCTCCCCATGCAGTATTCATTCCCACGGATGCAACTAGCATTCGAGCATACCCATCTACCACCTTTGCCCCAGAAAACAAGACGGGCTGTCCTTTGAATT